CAAAAACGATGAAAAATTACCCAAAATTCATACACACCTCAAGAACAACAGCAAAAAAGACACGATTTTTATTGCTGATTTGCTTCTTCTTGTAGCCTTCTTGGAGAGAGAGAGAGTTAAGTTCTTCTCTTTCTCTCTCTACACACACTTTCTTTTTTTTTTTTTTTCTTTCTATTTATTGCATTATATGCTTCAAGAAGTTTGAAAAAAATAAATAAAGCTGAAAGCGGTTTTTCTATTCGACCAGTATGCAGCTCAAAACCGCTTAGTGGTTTTGTTTTTTAAGTTTTGTGGATTCGAGCTAACCGCTGCGAGTACATAAAATGTTTTGTACTCGCGTTCTCCAGCTGACATTTTGCTTCGGCAAATCAATCCGAGACTCCCTGACCTCCGACACAGAATCCCGAGTCTGTGATTCGGCGTAGGTGTCAACATTACGTGGCGCGTTTACTCCACGCGCTATTCTCCGCGTGGATCTGTGGTTTCCTCGTACGCACCAAATCCATGAGAAGTGGAAATAGCAAAAAGATGTTTGGAAGTTGTTTTGTCGAATAGATCGCCGACACGTCGCTCGCGGCGCCCGAGAACAGAGAATTTATACACTGTTGCCGTTTCTAGGATGTCCACGTATGTACTTCCTCTCCACGTCTGCCACGTGTCCTTCCTTTTAGCTTTCCTTTCCATTTACATTACGCCAATCAAACGCGCCGGCTAAGAACATTTTCAGCCCAATTATGGAGCTCATGCCATAATTAGAAATGTCCTATTTATTTATTTTTAATTTATTTAAACAAATATTTTTTTCTCATTATTATATTAATAATTAACTAATTTACAATGTACAATTTCCACAAAAATCATTCATTATTTTATTTATAATTATTATATACGTAATATATATATATATATATATATATATTTAAGTGAGTAAGTCAGCTTAAGTTATTCACAGCTTCTAAGTTGAAAGCCGTACGCCGAACACAAAATTAATTCAATATATAAAAAATTACTTAATTAAATATTAATTAAAATTTTAAAAACATTATCTTCCTGTGTCAGGTACATATTTTAATTATTTGTACAGCGTTATTTATAAGTGACAGCTAAGAAGTCATTTTATTATAATCCATAAACTTTTACATAGTTTTCGGAGTCGTCGCTTTAATTATTATCAGTTTTAATAATATTTAATCTTACTATAAACTAATCTTAATACCTCACTCGAACATGAAAAATAGTACTACCAACGTCCTTTTCTCTTTTATTGAAAAATTATATTTAATTTTCTTGTTAACGTAACGTGTACGTTTTTTTCCTTGCTAGCTTAACATAAACGCTCCCGTAAACTATATGGTAATTTCATTTAATACATATCCTAAGTATGATTTATAATATAACCCTAGAAATTTGTACATTAATCTCTCAAAGTTTGTAATGTGAAATAAATATAACCAATGACTCGTATCATATATTGTGGGGATTATAAAATATTTTAATTAAATAAATTTTTAATTAATTTAGCTAAAAAAATATCATTAATAATTAATTTTAATAGACTTAATTAATTTATTATGTTTATTATTATTATTATTATATTGAGTTCGACAAAATTAGTAATTAAGATAGAAAATTGATAAAATATCATTATCAATAGATTTTATATAAAAAAAATATTAATTTTATAAAAATATTTAATTAATAATTAAGTTATTTTTAGTTCAAGTTATACATATTTATATTGAAATAAATATATAATATTTTTTTGAATACTCCGTGTATTTAAAAAAAATCGAAGATATCGACTAATCCTTAATATCAACATCATCGACCAATATTTAAGCGCGAAAAAATGATTTTAATTAAAATAAACCATAATTAATAGGATTCCATTAAATTCATAAAAATTGAATTAAAAAAATATATTAAAAAAGGGAATTAATTTACCCATAAGTGGTCAAATTTCTAGGAAATTGGTGACCAACCAAAGAATGGTACGGAATAATGTAAATAATATGAAAAGATGGAGCCCACCGACAAATAAAACTTTATGGTATAATTCAACCTATAGTGAAGATTTAATTAATGAAATGACAATATCATATTGTATAATTATATATTCATGAAAATAAACATTGGGTTATACAAATTAAAATATAATGTGACTTTAATTACTATATGATGGAAAATTTTATTGGGTTTGGTTAAGGGTTTTGCCATAAAGGTAAAAGTTTCCAGAATAAGCAAATTCCTATGTTGAAAGAAAAAGTACAAACAATTTTAGTTTTTTTTTTTCATCCACAGTAAAATTCTCAAAAGAATATATTTTAAGGAAAGGAATAAAAAAAAGGGAATAATTAATATATTATTAATTAAATAATCCCACTTCCCTATCATATACTATATACTATATACTTCTATAATATATATATATACATAGCTAGCTATATAGGTATGAACCATATTCCCATTTAATGCATTTTTTTTCTCTAGATTTATATAAATATTTTTAATGAACTTCATTCTGGCGGTGGGAATGAAACATTATTTAGAAGGGTGTAGAAATTTCAGCTATTTGTAACAGCTCAAGCTCACTGGTAACAAATATTGTTCGTTTTGGCTTGTATTACAGTCAGCCTCATGGTTTTTAAAATGCTTTTGTTAGGGAGAGGTTTTCACACCCTTATAAAGAATGTTTCATTCTCCTCTCCCAACCGACTTGGGATCTCATAATCCACTCTCGTTGGCACTTGTTCCTTTCTTCAATCGACGTGGAACCCTCCAATTTTATCGGATGTATAACGACCCAAAATTTTCTACTTAATTTAAGGTCGCTACTGTTGGTATCAGAGCCAAGATTTCGAATGATGTGCCAGCTTTCTCATTGTTCCCCGAAGGGAGATAGACACGAGGCGGTGTGCTAGTAAGGACGCTGGGCTCCAAGGGGGGTGAATTGTGATGTCTCACATTAGTTGGGGAGAAGAACAAAACACCATTTATAAGAGTGTGGAAACCTTCCCCTATCAAATGCGTTTTAAAGCTTTGAGGGGAAGCTCGAAAGGGAAAGCTCAAAGAAAGACAATATCTGCTAGCGGTGAATTAACATCTGTTACAAGATGTCTGATAGTATTTGCTAGCATTAGGTTCTACCAGACGAGTTTCATAGGGCGTTGGATATCTCTAACGACATCGATATTGTTTAGATTATTAATAAAGAAAAGCGAGAAGCAAATAATTGAGGAATTGAATTGTAGCTTTATTTTTATATATATATATATATATATAAAGGAATAAATATTCCATTGACTTTGATGCAATAACCACCGGCAAAAGCCTCTGCCCCTCGCACTCCTAAATCAACATTTTAATTTTATAATAAACATTTAAAGAAATAAAGAAATAAATAAATAAAAAAAGGTGGAAAATTAAACAATTAAAAATTCTAGAATAATTACAAATTAAATATTCAAATAATTTTATTACAATTAACGGTATCCACTGTATTTTTGGAAGATGGGTTAAATTATTTTTATTTTTTAAATTTTAGGAATTTATTTAATTATAAAAAGAAAATCGTATCAAAACGAATCTATTATTACAGTAATTTAAATAAAATAAAGCTCAAACTTCAAAGCTATTCCACTTTTATTTAATTTTAATTTAATTAATTAATTTATTTATTTTTCATATTAACTTCGAATTTTGTGTATGTCACATATCCCTTTAGATCTGCCTGCACATATGCCACCACCTAGTATTTATCGAAACCATCGTACAATATAATGAATTTTAAATTCTATTTTAATCCCAATTTTTTATTTTTATATTAATTTAGATATTTAGATATTTTTCGTTTTTTTTAATTATTAATTCACGATTTATTTTTAGTTAGAATTTACAAATTTTCTATGGTTAACCTTTTTTCTTTTTCTTTAGTCAACTATATATTAATTTCTAAAAATAAATAAAAAAGAGAAATTAAGAAATTGGGATGAGCTGGTAAGCATAAAATAAGATTAATTAATATAAATATTTTAAAACCATAAATTATTGAATGATGTCAGCTGGTTCCGTACGGGGAGTATATTTAAATATTTATCTTACCGTTATTGTGCTGGTTTTCCTTTTAATAAAACTTGTTAATTTTAGTTAATTTTTTTAAAAAATATTATTTATGAATCTTTCCCCCCATAAACTTTAATATAAATTAATATAAATAAAATAATAATAATAATAATAATACTTTTTTTTTGTTTAAAAAAAATGTATTTTCCGTCGTTAAAATCCTTGAAAATTGTCTATATACATCTTATAGATATGTTGAGGATGGTTGAGAGTGAGTCCCACATTGGTTAATTTAGTGGAAGATCATGAGTTTATAAGTAAAGGAATACATCTCCATTTGTATGGCGCCTTTTGAGTAAGTCCAAAACAAAGCCATGAGCGCTTATGCTCTAAGTGGACAATATTATACCATTGTGGAGATTTGTGATGCCTAATATGGTCGGTTAATATATATTAATCATGCATACCACATTTGAGCCATATTTTTTTACTCTGTCTTTTATTTTATTTTATTTATATTTAATCATTTTTTCCTAATAAGCATGGAAACTTTGACCAAATATAAATAAACAATAATGCAAGAATGCATGTTTTTTTTAATTATAAAAAATAAAATGGCATTTTTAATTGATTCACGTTGGTGTTAAAATAATAGCATAATTAAGCTTGTTAAATTTATAAATTTGTTTTTTTTTTTGAATTTTAATAGCGACAAAGAAATATTTGAAAATTAATTTACTATTTATATAATTTAATAAATTTATTAATTTTGGGTTTTTATTGAATATTTGAAATAATTTTAAGTTTAAATATTTGTTTTTTTGTTTATTAATTTATAAATTTATTTGACGCGAATTTGGATTAATTGAAGGCTAAATATTGACACGTGGCTAGCGTTTAACGCGTGTTCATTTTCGTTTCTTTTTTTCGCGGGCCGAAGCCTGGTGCTCGCGCCTGTACAACCTCAGGAAACTTCAATTTCACGACTAGACTCGAATGCTTGTAACATCGGTGTGCAAGAGATTGATAAGAGCCCATTTTCGTTCTCGAAGGGTTGATCGGAGCTTCGAAATAGCAGACTATGAGGCCTGAGATCGTTCTATTTGGGGATTCTTTGACTGCGCAATCCTTCGGCTCAGGCGGATGGGGAGCTGCGCTTGCTGACACTTACTCTCGGAAGGTGGATTCTCTTTTCTTTCATTCTTTAATTTGTGTTTTCGTTCAAGTTTTTGAAGTTTTTGTGTTCGTAAGTGGGTTCTTGTTCGACTAATTTATAGGCCGATGTCCTAGTTCGTGGCTACGGCGGATACAATACTCGATGGGCTTTGTTTTTACTTCATCACATTTTTCCATTGGTATGTGTTATAGTGCGCTTTTTGTTCCTTCTCTACTTTGATTTTGAGGACTTTGTTTTTACTTGAATTTGTTTCGTTATGTTCAGTAAGTGATCTTGGTGATTATTCGCATTTTAGTACTTTTTGGGCGTTTTTTTGTAATGCAACCTATCATTGTAGCTATGTTGTGGGAATTGTGCCCGTTTCTGATTCTTACAATTGATTTCAATTTAATTGAGGAAAAATTGGAAAGTTTTGCTCAATGGGGCTAAACTTACGGGGAGATCACCCAATGAACTCAAAGTTGTGATTGAACAACAAACCAAACACATTGTTTGAAAGATTTTGGAATATTGTTGTACGTTAATGATGTTGTACACGAATATGTTTGGGAGTCTAAATACGTACCTGGTGGGATGTAACAGCCCAAGCCTACCACTAGCAGATGCCGTCCTCTTTAAGTTTTTCCTTTCGGATTTCTCCTTAAGGTTTTTTAAAACGCATATGCTAGGGAGAGGTTTTCACACTCTTATAAAGAATACTTCGTTCTCCTCTCCAACCGATGTGTGATCTCCCCTGGGATGTTGTGTAGAATTCTTGTGGTAAAGAGCCAATTATAGTTGAATTATTTGGCCCCTAGATACGTAGGATGCCGGGTTTAGTGGCCCATAATTGACTTTCCTTCACCAAAAAGCTTAATCTCTTGATGCTCAGCTCACAAGGAGTGCCTCTCGAATTGGGGGTTTTCAACCTTGCCTCATTGCAAAGTTTGTGTTTTCATGCCCCTTTGAGACCCTAAAAGAGGAACCAGTAGATATTCTTTGTACTAGCTTACACAGTCATGGGTAGAAACATCTTTGTAGGCTTCTGAAAATGATGTTTCTTGTATATTTGCATTCCAAATAATTTGCATCACGTGTAATGCAGGATATCCCAAAGGCCCCCATTGTTGTGACAATTTTCTTTGGGGCCAATGATGCAGCTATTTTTGGGAGAACAAGTGAGAGACAACACGTACCTCTTGACGAGTACAAGGATAATCTTAAAAAGATGGTAAATCATTTGAAGGTACTGACTTCTTTCTTCACTGCTCGAAATCTTTTCGAGCATACTGTGCTAATATTCATTTTGAAGATTTAAATGACTGTAAGACATTAGTCCATCACTTTTTTTATTTCATCTGTTTATAAGTTCCCCATTGACAAGGTAGTTGCTTCAGAAAGAGAGATGTTAAAAAATATATTTATGAATTAGTTCAAAGCAGGAGTACAACTTACAATTACTGGAAATGCTTTAATAGACTTTCATATTTTCTTTTGATTTGTTCTGTTGGCCATTAATTCGGTACATTCTGAAATTGTTGATGCCTGATGGATTGGAGAGGACAGAGCCACCCTCAACTATTTCGTGCTCACGAGATCGTTAAAACACTTCAGACCATACATACTTAGATATTTCATTTAAGGGTGTATTGAAGACTGAATTAAGTGCACGTTCGTCGAGATTAGTATGAATGGTGATACTAAGAAGAAAGTCTCCATTGTACTAAAAAAAGTTCTGGCTATTTAGCTATTTGGATATGCCCCGGGAACTAATCTTAGGAGTTTAAACATTTTGGAATGGAGTTATAGAAAGGGCGAGATCTACCCTTCTAAGTGGCAGACATGTTACTTCTAAATAGGTTAGATTAGTCTAGTCACTAGTGCATTGGGTAACCACCGTTAATTGGCCCAGTTGTCTTTGACATTTGGTAAACTCGTAATTTTTAGATAATAAGTTCAAACCATGGTGACCTCCTATCTCGATAATAAACATCCTACGAGTTTTTCAAAATCAAATATCGTAGGATGAGACAGTCCACTTAGAGAGAGATTTATTGACATTTGCTTGCTGCCCAAAAAACCTAAGACTATTAGAACGAAAAGGTCTAGTGCAAACTGCTAGCGATCTGAGAAACGTTCCGACTCACTTCCTTTCTCTATTTAAAACTTTTATAAAGGTAGGTAAACAAGTTAGATTGGAATGTTAGGAACTTCTTATGGGTTTGTAGTTTGAATGTGAGAGGGTTAATGAAAGTGGGCAACCACTTGTCTGACCTGAAAGTGGTCCTCTTCCTGGGAAGAAGGTTGAATGAAATGGGAGAGTTAAACCTTCGATCAGACTTCTAGGAAGACGTCCAGCTTGCAGATTGCTCATATTCTTTGAAAATGTGATTTTGCATTAGTCTTTTGAAATTGTTTCTTTGAGGCGTTTTGGCTTATGCTTTGTCAAATCTCGGGATTGTAGAGAGATGATCAAGGAGCTCCTTCTTCAGTCGCTCTTTCGTGAGAAATGAAGGTTCTTGTGAGCTTCGGTAGCGAAGTTATTTTGTAACTATCCTTTAGGGGTCGTTTGGTATAAGGTTTAAAGGTTTATAACGGTGTTTAATTCTATTAGAGAATGTTTTTCAGATTCTTATAGGAATAAATTATTTCAATACTTCAATGTTTCCCTTCACTTGTGGGCTTGAAAATTTGTAGAAGGCTCCAACAAGTAGAAATTAATATTAACTGGGGGAGGAAATGAAATAACAAAAGTTTGAACACACGACTTTTGTTATGATACCATGTTAAATCACCACTCAACCCTAAAGTTTAAGTGATAAATTACGATAAATTTACTTATTTCAACACTTCAACCAGGGTTATAGCTAATTATGGGTGCTGTGAAATGAAAGAAATCATGTGGCCTTTAATGAGCTCAATTCAAAGGTTTCAAAAGAGTCGAGTTTCTTTTTCGTTCCTCTGGTGCACTCTTCCCAGTTTCTTATGTAATTGTAGCACTCTTTTGATTCAACCCTGTTGGATTATTTTCTTGTATCCACTTCTCCCCCATTTACATCTCATTGCATTGTGGCATTTTGGTTGCAGGAGTACTCCCCAACCACGTTGGTGATACTTATTACTCCTCCTCCTGTCGACGAGGACGGGCGTAATGAATATGCACGGTATGACTTTTTGTTTCTAATCGCTGCTCAAACTTTTTAGCCTTTTTCTGGTGTAGTGGTACGTACAACAGTCTATATATTCCATCTTTCTACTTCTCCTTCAATTAGTTGTTAGGATCGCACAACACACACTATGAACACAAAGAACAAGAGAAGGAAAATGCAAGGAAAAATATTAGCTAGATGTTTATATTGATGACTTCAAATATGAACCGTAAGAGAGAATACAAAGTGTACAGAAAGTATGTTTTCAAAGTATTGCCCAAGGGAATTATTTATGGTTCAGTTTATTATATATAACTTTTCTCTAGGTATAGTCATCTACTATATATAAGTATCTACCCTATATAATATAGCCTCTTACTAGACATAGTTGTTTACTATATATGATCATTTACTTTACATGTTATTTATCCTATATATAACTTTACCTGTATAATAGTAGATGACTCCATAACCTAACACTAGTTTCATATTAACATATAAGTTATATATCGAGTATTACCAAAATATACTTTTTCATTCTTGAACCTAATGTGTAAATGTCTGAACCTGTTGAGTCCAAATGTACTCTATGCCCCTATTACGCCCTCGCTGCAGATCATCACCGATATCGGCATTTAAAGGTGGTCTAAGAACACAATCTTCAGACCAAGACAACTATACTTATTTTAAACTCTCTTCAGCAAGTTGTCTTATTTTAAGTTTCATCAATATGCCGAAGAGAGATTTTTATCCTACTCAGACCAATACAACTTTACTTGTTCAAAAACCAATTAACGTGAAGCAGGTCTTTTCTTGATTGTGAAAATAAACTTGTGTCAATCTATCAGATCTCTTTATGGTGATAAAGCAAGGGAATTGCCTGAGAGATCAAATGAAGTAACTGGACTTTACGCGAAACAATGCCTTGAACTAGCTAAGGAAATGGGTCTTCTCGCCATTGATCTATGGTCCAAGTTGCAGGAAACAGAGGGCTGGCAGAAAAAATTTCTCAGGTCAGTGAATCCAACTCCTAGTTCACAAGTTTTACTCATGTTTTAAATATGGCTGCTGTTATCTTTAATGTTATATGTCCGACTACACTTAAAAAGTTATTCCAAATCAATCCTAGTCTCATGAATCAAATTTGATATCTACGAGTGAGAGGGATTGTTAATGAAGATTATAAATAATTCAATGTTCTTCAATGTGATATCCCACGTTGGTTGGGGAGGAAAACGAAACACCCTTTAAAAGCGTGTAGAAACCTATCCCTAGCAGATGCATTTTAAATCCTTGAGGGGAAGCCCAAAGAGGACAATATCTGCTAGTGATGGACTTGGGCCATTACAAATGGTAACCGAGCGAGACACCGGGCGATGTGCCAACGAGGAGGCTGTTCCCCATAGGAGGGTAGACACGAGACGGTGTGTCAGTAAGGACGCTGGTTCCCCAAAGGGGGGGGGGGTGGATTTGGTAGGGGTCCCACATCGATTTGAGAAAGGAACCAATGCCAGCGAGGACTCTAGGCCTTGAAGGGGGGTGAATTGTGATATCCCACATTGGTTGGGGAGGAGAATGAAACACCCTTTAAAAGCGCGTGGAAACCTCTCCCTAGCAAACGCGTTTTAAAGCCTTGAAAGGGTCTCACATCGATTGGAGAAAGGAACAAGTGCTAGCGAGGACGCTAGGCCCTGAAGGGGGGGTGAATTGTGATATCCCACATTGGTTGGGGAGGAGAACGAAACACCCTTTAAAAGCGTGTAGAAACCTCTCCCTAGCAGACGTGTTTTAAAGCCTTGAGGGGAAGCCCGAAAGGGAAAGTCTAAAGAGGACAATATCTGCTAGCGGTGGATGGGCCGTTACATTCAACTCAACTTTCAAGTGATATTAATTGTTGTGCGTTGAAATTTGTGAGTTAATGTGAGATCCCACATTAGTTGGAGAGGAGAACGAAGCATTCTTTAGAAGGGCATGAAAACCTCTCCCTAGTAGACACGTTTTAAAACCGTGAGGCTGACGATGATACGTAACGGGGCCAAAGTAGACAATATCTACTAGCGGTGGGCTTAAGCTGTTACAGTTGAACTGTTCTTATTCTAACTCAATAGCTTAAACTCTAAATCGAACGGTCACACAAGCATAGCGAAGAAGTAGAATTCCTTGAACGAACGTCCACCCCACCCCCGTTTCGTATGAACTTAGTAGTGAGGCATTGTTTGTGTTTTACATGTAGGGATGGATTGCATTTCACGCCAGAAGGCAACGTAATTCTGCACCAAGAACTAGAGAAAGTACTGAATGAAACATCAGTTTCTGCTGCAAAATTGCCTCTTGATTTCCCACATCACTCAGAAATCGATGGAAAAAGCCCCGAAAAGGCCTTCCAATATCTTTCTTTGTGATATACTTTCATCATCATATCATATCTTGTTATGGAAGAAAGCTTTATTTGTATTTGCATTTGATTGTAAACCATAATTTTCTGTCTTCCATTTGGTATCATCTTGTTTGATGAGTATGAATATTAAATATTAGAGACCAAAATGTGTTTATTTGAAATAATTCTTTTAATGTTTAATTATTAATAAATAAAAAAAAACTATTACTTAATATTATTTGTTTGTTTACTAATATGAAAAATGTATTAATTACTTAATTATTAAATTTAGCTTTTTCGATGAACTATATAATATATATATATAGAGGTTATATTTAGAGATATTCATTTTACCTGTGGGGTGTTTTTTACATGTTAGATAAATGGGTTGGAGATGATATTATATTTTCAATCCTCGTCTCCACCTTGTTTAATATAAATACATTTTAATATATATTATATACACGTTTAATTTTGGGACTCGGACTCTAATAGTAATATTAAAAATTATGATGTAATATTAAAATTTATTTTTTTTTTAGAAATTATATATTGATTTATTATGATTTTTTTTTTAAAGGTTATATGGAAAAAAAATAAAAATTTTTAAAATAGCTATTTTTTTAAAAAAAGAATAATAAGGAAAAAATTTAAAACAATTAACAATTCTAGCTCATCCCGAGTGGACATTTCTAATTATATTTCATATTTTTAACAAATTCAATAATAAGAAATAGAGAAAATTTTAAAATTGAGACAAAAAAAAAAAGAATTTAAGTGATTAATAATAAAAATAGAAATATTTTAATGAAAAATTGATATTACTATTTAATAATAATGACACTTATGGTTGGTGATTAGCTTCCATTTCTTTCTTTATTTATCTCAATAAAATAAAAAGCACGAATAATTTTCCATTATTAGAACCAAGCTCCATAAATCAGTAATTAATTTTTAAATTTAATTTTCGAACAGTTTTTTAATTCAATATAAATATGATAAAGAAATTAATCATCGAATATTTTAAACAAATATCGTTTGATAATCATAATTAAAAGTCATAAATACTCAACAAAATTAATTAGCATAATTTAATTGAAATTTTAGATTTTAAAAAAAAGGAAAAAAAAAAGTGTGTTGGTGAGAGAGTGACAGAGAGATATTCCCACGTCGCACGTGTGACCTTCAAAGTCGCGATCGTACGGTATTATCCAGTTTTTGCATGCGATTCCGATCATGTTCGTTGCAGTTTCAGGCAATATGATTCTCTCGTTTTCTTCCGCGTTATCCGATCTTTCTTCCGCCGGAGGTAAGCCCTACTGAACTTTTCTTCTCCAAGCATCCACTGATTCAGTCGACCATTGCTATCAAATTAGGCGTTTCGGTTTTGTCTTCTCAATCTCCGACTCATTCCGCTCGTCTTTCGCTTTCGCTGTGCCCTTTCTTTGGATATTTGGATGAATCGCTAGGTCGATTTTTTTTTTCTTCTTGATTTCTTTTGCGAGGCTGAATTGCGAGTTTGATTGTCTGTTGCGAAGGATTTTGTTGCGAGTTTTTGGCTCTCTGTTCTTTTTTAATTGGAAGCTATTCTGTTGGTGGAAGTTGTATGTGTGTATGTGCGGAAATTAAGTCTCTGATTGTTGTTGTTTTGCTGCTGAGATTTTATTTTTTGGAGAATGGATTTCTCTTCGCGATTGAACAAGCTTTTGAAACAGAGCAGTGAGTTTAAAAGCTGGTTTCTGGTGTTCGGGTGTTTCCCGCGGGTTTTTATCATTCTAGGGCTTTTTCTGCTGTTTTGGATCAGTTTTAAGATTGTGCAATTTAGTTGGCATTGTGGAGATTGGATGCTATTTCGATGTGATTTTAAGGAGAAATCTGCTAATATAAGAGCTGGAATTTGGTTGAAAACCAGTGTTGTTGAGGTTTGCAATTCCAAAACTGTGCAAACTTGTAGAAGTAGACGATTGAATTGGTTGAAGAAGAATGGATTCTTGTTCAGTAAGTTCAATTTAGTAGCAAACCCCAAATGGACTGTGGATTCTGATGGTGATGATAAAAGTGAGGAGAAGGGTGAAGACTATGTTGAGAATGAAGAGAACGAGAACGATTCTGAAGATGGCGAATTCGATGTTGCCAAATTAAGAGAATTGGTGAAGATTGAAAGGAAGCACAAGAAGGAGGCTCTTGAAGAGCTTGAGAAGGAAAGAATCGCAGCTGCTACTTCAGCTGAAGAGGCAATGGCTATGATATTTCGTCTGCAACATGAGAAGAGTTCAATCGAAATCCAAGCGAATCAGTTTCGCAGGATGATGGAGCAAAAGCAACAATATCATCAAGAGGTTATTGAATGTTTGCAAAGAATTATCATGGAATATGAGTCAGAGGGAAGCTTGAGCGAGCAACCGTGCATCTGCAGGCCGAAAGAGAAGCTACAACTGATAGGATTCGGTGACGGTACAAGCCTCTTCGAACGTGACATGGAATTCATTCTGGAAGATGATGATGCCCTGATGAACAACATCGGCATGGACCTCGAGGAAATGTAAGTACATGAACACAACTTTTATATGGTATTAACATAGATTTTCTACAATTTGATGCTATATAGTTGCAGAACTTGAATTCAAAATCTTGATTGGAGATTAAAAGCTATAACTGATCTCCATCTTTCTTGAACTTCCTTTCCTATTGTAAATGTCATTTTGTTAATAGATTCGATCCGATGGAAGATTGAGAACGCAATTTCTTCGATCGATTCCATTAGTGGGATAAAAAAAAAAAAGGGAAAATGCATGTCTTGAATGTAGGACTTTGCATCTTAGCAGAACTGATAGATCCTCATTCCCAACCAAAACCATTACAGGGTAGCCTTGTATTGTAGAATGCTTGGAGGAATGGAAATGAATTCCATCCAACCAAACTTTGAAATGAGAACCCTTATTCTGATTGATATTGTTATAGACTAAGAACCACTTGAATGAAGATTGGAATCACAAAGCTCCAGTTCCCTTTATCAGTACTTGAGAGCCAGTAAATATCATCTGATGAGATTTTGTTTCATAATGATTTCTTTTAGCTATCTGTTTTGCAGAAAATAAGCTTAGTTCTTTGCATCTTTTAGAACACTTGAAATTTCTAGTCCAATTTAGAAAGACTACTAGTTCTTGAAACTAATATTCTGCCTACACTGTTCTCTACTATGTTTATGATTACTCCACTTATCTCTGGGTGGTGAGCTTATTGGCTTAAATTTGTGAGATCCCACGTCGGTTAGAGAAGGGAACGAAGCATTCCTTATAGGGTGTGGAAACCTCTTCCTAATAAACACGTTTTAAAACCTTAAGGGGAAGCTCTCAAAGGGAAAGTCTAAAGATAACAATATCTGCTAGTAGTGAGCTTGAGCTGTTACAAATGGTGTCAGATCCAGACGCCGAATGGTGTGCCAGCAAGGACGCTAGACCCACGAGGGGGTGATTGTGACCCAAATTAGTTGGAGAGGGGAATGACCCTCTCCTAACATACGCATTTTAAAACCTTGAGGGGGAAGCCCTTGAAAGAACAATATCTACTAGTGGTGGACTTGGACTTTTACTTAACTCCAGTAAGAGGTCTGTATTCGGGTCTTCATCGAAGGACCTTACTACCAGGCCATCCTTGTTTTAAGAACGATCATCAGGAAGAAATGTTAGTAAACACACCCAATACCAGTTACTTGCACTGTAAACAAAATGGATGGCAATGTGTTAGGCAGACCTCCCTTTTGCAAATCCCTCCATTCTTGAGCGAAGTTCTTTTCTTTTCTGATTTTGACTTGGAGAAGACTTAGTCAATGGCTTTGACTTTGGGTTAAATATTTGATCTGGGTCCCAGCTGGAGACGGATGACCATGGTCCCGCAGCATACTAATCCGCCCGTACTAGTTCATGCTCTGAAGGTTGGTTTATCGAAATTGTTAGATTCACTTTCATTCTTCCACACAGCGAAAGTCAGTGTACGACTCCGTTATCCCGCCTCTTGACCGAAGGGCCAACCCACCTTACACTCCCACTTTCTTTGCTGTACAGGAAGATGCAAATTGCAAAAGCCTTTTACCTGAAAAACATAGACCAAAGTCGTTACACTTGATTTAAGATCAGCCTTCAAGTGGTGTCATTGACTCGGTTTGACATCGTTATTTCCTCCAATAATAATGTATGCATCACTTGATTTAAATCAGCCTTCAAGTGGTGTCATTGACTCGGTTTGACATTCGACATCGAAATAACACACCCAAACTAAACACACACGACCGACCCGACAATGTTTCCAGCCTTTTCTTTCCAATGTTAGCAAACACCTTAAAAGGAATTAAAAGTTTTATTCTCATTCCTTCCTTTCCATTTCCTTAAAAGCAAATGGAATAAGTTTAATCTCTAATATTTTAAGTTTATTTCTATGCATAACTAGAACTACACACAAAATTTAAAATTAAATTTTAAATCTAAATTTAATAAATTAAAAAAACTTTTAATTTTTAACATTTTCAGAGCGAATGAACAACAGATATAACCGATGTGTCGATCCAATGACTAATTAAATCTGAAATAAGAACCCATCTGTCGTTCCCTCTCTCTCTCTCTCTCTCTCTCTCTCTCTCTCAAATCGCAGTTAGAGAGAGAGAACGATTTCATCGGCCGGAGACGACGGAGAGAATCTGCGACGGAAGCAAAACCGGATCCATTGTGGAGGATAGGGATGAAGAGATTTGCAGTGCTTCTTTGCGCAGAAGATTCCGAGTACGTGAAAATCAAGTACGGAGGATATTTTGGAGTGTTCGTCAGAATGTTGGGCGAAGAAGGCGAGGCTTGGGACCTTTTCCGCGTGGCCTCCGGCGAGTTTCCGACCGACGATCAGATCTCCGCCTACGACGGCTTTGTGATCACCGGCAGCTGCAACGACGCCCATGGCGACGATCCTTGGATCCGCCGATTAATCGTTTTGTTGCAGAGATTGTCGTGCTTGAACAAACGAATCCTCGGCATTTGCTTCGGCCATCAGGTATTTTCGTAATTTCCCTTCTTCTTTCATTTTTTTTTCAACATTTCTCAGTTTTTTCTCGAAATAATTAAAATTTCAACTTTTTTTTTTTTTGTAAAATACCATTTAAATTGATTAATAAGTGTTTTTAAAATTGATTTTATAAATTTTTGTTTCTTTTTGTTAGTAACTTTATTTACTTTTAACATAATTTTTAAAATTGTTTTAATTTCCTATTTCGATCTCAAAAACTAAAGTATATATTCATTATTAAAGAATTTAAAGAGCTGACAATTAAATGATAATTATGAGTTAATAAATGTGATTTCAAAAAGTCCAACATTAAAAATAATTAAATTTAATTTAAACTTTTACCACTTGTAGAGTAGGGATTCAAACGTCTAACATTTAACTGAAGCTAAAAACTTAAGGACCGTGTTTATTTTAAAATAGGACCTCTGATATCCGGTGCGAATGTGTTATCCAATTAAGTTAGCTCTCGAGCTATTTTACAAACTATATTCTTTATATTTAGTTAAAATGTAGTTATCAATTATCATGTAATAGCACCTTTTTTTTTTTCTTTATTCCATTCTATTAATTTCCTTTAATGGGTCAAATCAATCAATGTCACCAAAGTTAATTTAGAATTTAACAATAAATGTATTTAAAAACTTTTGATTTAAAAAAAAAAATCATAAACAAACGAATAGAATTACGTGGGGCTGTTTTGGCTGACGGCACGTGGTTCATTAAAGAAGTGTTTATGACGTGTCCGTTTCTGATTGGTCATGGTCCACTGACTTTTGTCGGTCCCGGTCAGGTTAGCTTTCCTCATTTAAGTTGGAATTCATTTGCATTTCTCCTATTTTTGTTATTATTGTTATTTTGTTGTTTTTATTAATAGAGAAATTAAATTTATAAGAAAAATAAATAAATAAATAAATTTTGTTTGATGGGTTGGTATTTATTTAGATACTGGGACGTGCTTTGGGGGGAAAAACGGGCAGGGGGAGATCTGGATGGGACATTGGGATCACAACCGTACACGTGTCGTCATCTAACAAGCTCTTCTCATCCCTCAAAATACCCACGGCACTCTCTGTGATCGAATGTCATCGCGATGAGGTTTGTATTAGGTTAAAATATTATTTTTCTTTTTTATTTTATTTTAATTTATGTCATTTAAATATCTAAATTTAGTGTTTATATTTTCAAAAAAAATATAAATAGATTTTCTTAGTCTTAATTTTGTAAATTAATATTCATTGATTTGTAAGATGATATGTTACAATGACGTAGATCTACGAACTTCCAACCAAGGCTGAAGTGATTGGGCGGTCAGATAAGTATGGCATAGAAATGTTCAAATATGGAGATCATATCCTAGGCATTCAAGGTCATCCCGAGTACACCAAAGACATTCTCTTACATCTAATTGACCGCCTTGTCTTACGAAAACTCATCACGGTAAGTTCATTACGAAGAAATTTCAATATTGGGTCATACTATTCGCAAATTTTCAAAGTATTAATAGATGATATATGCCTTAACTAGTTGAGATATGCTTAATTTGACGAGGTTGACGTAGTTTGCTAAATTCGGTAAATGTTGTATTTTGGGGTTAGGATGAGTTTGGTGAGGAGATGAGGAGCAATTTGGAAGAAGGTGAGGCAGATAGGGAAGCATGGAAGAGGCTTTGCATCAACTTTCTCAAGGGTGGGTTATGATTTTAGAGAAACAAAAATGGAAGTTGTTAGATTTAATGTACTAACAATTCCTCCTTTATTCAACACTTATATGAGTAATAATTCTCTAATATAAGGTTAAGAAGCCTTAACCTATCGTTCGTATCTTACCATTTGTTTATTTTCGACGGATTGATACCATCTATTTGTTGTTAACTAATTAACGTTCACTAAAATTGTGAGCTAATGACTATTTCAACCGATATGAGGAAAAGTGAAGTCGTGATAGTGTCATGCTATGGAGACAGGTAGAAAGTTGTTGATTCTAACAAGTGATATCAAAGACATGTCCTAAATTTAGCCATGTCAATAGGTGCAATGTTGAGGGAAGAACAAAGTAGTAAACTTTGAAGACATAATCGTGTAACGAACCGAGACTAAGATGGAGGGATCTAAAAAGAAGAAGAGATAGCTAAGATAAAAGCACGTTCTAATTGATATTAGAAATGTGAACTTTGAGAGGGAACTATGTGATCTCTGGTTCGAGGGAATCAGGTAAAAATAACTATATTTATAATCCAAGTCAAATAGTAATAATCCAAAACATCTATTTTTACGCACTATCTTCAAAATCCAAGAACTCATACGGATATGTAAAATACACGACTAGGGAACATAAATTCAAGCTTGATGAAATTTCGATCAAGGAACAAAGGGTAAAAGCTGTTCTTGATCAAAGAGTAAAAGCTGTTCTTGATGGTATTGGATCTAGAATGCGAGGCAACTTTAGTGCAAATTTGAGAAACATGTTATTAAATGAAAGTTGTGATAATGGAACATAGAAAATTCAAGATGCATACACTGTTTTAAATGCTGCATATGGATCACTACTCAAGCCTTCGCAGCTGCAGTGGTTGCAACTTCTGCTGCTGGAGTGGCTTTGAGAACGATCTCAACATTGTCATGAACTCCTTGCAGCAGCAGCTCACCATCATACGTCACTATTTTTCTCTTCTTTGCTGCTCTTAGCGTCCCGACCAGCGCTTCGAATATGTTAGCACATCTGTCATCATTGAACAGCACCCCAAATGTTACCTGCAAATTGAAAACCCCAAATTCATATGATGAAATGATATGGCATATGCATATGCAAATTTTGTTTCATGAGGAGTTTCATATCCATGTCTCACATTTCAGCTGCAAACAACTAGTTTCAGCACTAAATATTTGATTAGAAGAAGAGAGTAATGAATGCAAAGAACTAGTTTCAGCAAATGAATGATCAGAGCAAATAATTAGTTGCATTCCAGTTCTAAATATGTGATCTGATCAAATAATTAGTTGCATTCCAGTTCTAAATATGTGATTAGAACAAGATAATAATGAATGATCAGAACCAAGAACTAGTTGCATTTCAGTTCTAAATATGTGATTAGAACAAGACAATAATGAATGATTAGAACGAAGAACTAGTTGCATTTCAGTTCTAAATATTTGATTAGAACAAGACATTAATGAATGATCAGAAGGAAGAACTAGTTGCATTTCAGTTCTAAATATTTGATTAGAACAAGACAATAATTAATGATTAGTTGCATTTCAGTTCTAAAAAACCATTGAAGCATTATCTGGATCATAAAATTTAGGGTTTCAATCTTTTTATCCAATGAAGAGAGGCTGATTCACAAGTTAAAAGACATCCAAATGCAAGGCAAGCTGGCTTTCAAATGGTTCAATGAATCTAGTAACACAACACGATTCAATCATTTCAATTTAGTTCGGATTTTTCGCCATAACCAATCAGAACCAACAATGGCAAAACATCAAACAGGTAATAGGCAGACAGATCTCGTCCTGAAACTAAGAGAAAAATAATCGAAGAACTCAATTTCAAATTCTAGATCCAACTCAGAACCGCCCTATTTCCAAGCCTAAACTGGTAAAAATCTCAGCATCTGAGAAAGATCGACATCGAACAAGAACAGTTGACCTGGAAAACGGGAAAAGATCCAAAAAAAAAGAAGAGAGAAGAATGGAATCGTGTTTATAAGTGTAAAAATCGTAGATACCTTGTAAGAACCATCATCTTGGACCTTACCAAGCCTTTGAATTTCCTCCTTGAGTCGCTCAACTTCCTCATCGACATTCATGGCTTCAGATCTTTCACTGTGCTCTCGATTCCTCTTCAACAACAATTCACGACTTCAGAGAAAATAAAATGGCATAAAAAGGGAAGAGACAGGGGAGGGACCCTTCAATGGCTGGCAATTGGCATGGATTATAACAATTATCATCCCAAGATATTTTGAAAGGAAACAAACAAATGGTATTTTTTTAAATATTTATTATTTAGGTCTTAATTAATTGAATTATTATCGTGTTAAAATTAATTTTAGAGTTAATCTGATAATTATTCTTTTGACACGTGGCGGAGCAGGTTCCGTTAACGCTGTGAATTCTTGGGAAAAGTTTGTCGATTCAATCATCTTGCCCAATCAGTAAGCTGAACCGTAAGAGGGAAATTCAGGGGAACTCAGAAAATGGAGAGAGGCGGTGAGGGAGCGGCGGCGGGGACGACGGCAGCGGCGACGGCGGCATCGTCTTCTCAGACCAGCAGACCTGGTAGGAGGGTGGATCCTTTGCTTGTAACTTGCAGGTTTTTCAGTGTTGTAACAGCTCTCACTGCCATTCTCTGCATTGTTTCCAACGTTATCGCTGCGATTCGGTCATTTAAGAACAAATCCGATGTACTCACTCTGTTGCTTCTTCGTTAAGTAATTTTTTCAATTGAAAGCGGGATCATGTGTTTGTGTAACTTTTTGGCAGATATTCGATGGTATATTTCGGTGTTATGCCGTTGTGATCGCGTTCTTCGTGGTTCTTGCTGAGACGGAATGGGAGTTTATTCTCAAGAACTGGAAGGTTTTGCTTTCGAACCCTAAATTCTTAATTTCTGAAGTGATTTTACTCTTAAAATGATCAGAAATGAAGGGATATATGGTTTCTTTATAGTTTGCTAGGCAACAGTTGATCATTGAAGCTTGAAATCTGCCCCCTCCCTCCATACAGTTCTCTGGCTCCATGTCAAAACTGGTGTTTGTTTGCTGCTATGGTGGTATTTTAATGGTGTCTCAAGTTTTTATTAGTCTGGTGGTCCATTTAGTGTCTAGGAGAGGACTTTTTGTATTGAAGAAAAGGGAAACTTATGATGGCCTTTTCATTTTCTACATTCATTTGTTCCTATCAACACAAATAAGCGTTTCTTTTACACAAATTTATCCTGAAGGTGTGTGTGCAGCAGTTGGTCGGGGTTGGTTTTCGACTGAAACTGACCACGTTGGTTTCCATATATTGGAAAACGACGGGTTTTTCATGTTTGATTGGATCAACCAACCGACCAGTTGATGTGTGTGTGTGTGTGTGTGTGTGTGTGTTATTTGGGACTGTTTGGGCAGACGGGATGCTGTCAGATATAGGAGATGGATAGCGAAGTACAAAGCAATGAGGGAGACGAGTAAAATGATTGAGGAGGCAAGAATGGGACGACGAATGAGGGAGGCGAGAGATATGGCAGAGAGAGAGTGAGACGAGTGGCGAGGGAGGGAGAGGGAGAAAATCAAGGGGGGTGCGGTGTGTCACAATTACACTTTCTTGAAACTTCGCAAAGCATACCGAGACACAGTGCACAGAGAAGCAGCTTGACTGATAGGGAGAGGAGAGAATATCAGTTGGTTGGTCAGTTTGAGCATTATTGGGCTCGCCTACTTACCGACCTTGCAAAACTGACCCAGGCTCACTCATACACTTAAGCTAACTGATCGAAGTTGGTTCGAACGGTTTCGATGGTCGGCTTAATTTTTCAGTCTATGTTGCTCACCCCTAAGGCAAAATTTCTTTATTTTATTTGATACATATATTCATGGTAAATGTTTCACTCCCTTCCATTCTCTGGGATGTCATACTGCTAGCAAGTATCAAACATTACTTTTTGGCCTAGAAACTCCTATTGATGGAATTATCAAGTGGAATTGTATATTCGTTCATAGCAGTTCATTCCCTTCCTAAATTTTTTTGGGATGTCACTGGAACTGCAGTCTGCCATGAAGTACTAAAGTTCGCTATATTCTTTGAAGCTCAAAGATGCATATGATGTCTAATTAGGACTTGCCTGCTGCATCATTTAATTCACTTGGGTTTGTGCATTTCAGGTATTGGAATATTGGGCTGGCCGGGGCATGTTGCAAATCTTGTAAGGTTTTATTTTGATTAGCATTTGAAACTTTTTCCTTTTTATTTTCCTGACTTGTTCCTATGCGCATATGTTTCTATTTGAGAATCTTGCATGCACTCGGTCTATTTTGTTACTGAATTGTAAGCATACGATTAAAAATATACCTATACATGCAACATCAGTTGTTGGTTAGTTGCCATTTTGTTAGTTCAATGGAGGGATGACCATTTCTTAGGATGTTAGACTGAGACTTCTGAAATTTACTCCAATAGGAGACTTTGTCAGTGGTATAAATATAGAACTGCCCAAGCCCACCGCTAGCAGATATTGTCATCTTTGAGCGGCTAGAAATAGTATCAAAGCCAAACACCAGACGATGTGCCAGCGAGGAGGCTAAGTCTTGAAGGGGGTGGACACGAGGAGGTGTGCCAGCAAGGGTGCTAGGCCCTGAAGATGGGTGGATTGGGGGGGTCCCACGTCGATTAGAGAAGGGAACGAGTGCCAGCGAGGACGTTGGGTCCCGAAGGGGGATGGACTGTGAGATCCCACATTGATTGGAGAGGGGAACAAAGCATTCTTTATAAGAGTGGAGAAATCTCTCCCTAGCAGATGTGTTTTAAAACTTTGAGGGGGAGCCGAAGAGAGAAAACCCAAAGAGGACAATATGTGCTAGCGGTGGGCTTGGACTGTTACCTTGATCAATTAAATTCCACATGAGATCCATTAAATGCATGGATTTGTTGTATCATTGTTTAAGTTGTAATTGTTTTATTTATTTATTTATTATTATTTTTTTTTTTTTTTGCAGTGTTGCAGTGATGACAAGAGCTTTCCCGGCGTATTCTGTAGAGCAGAGAGAGTTTATTCTTCTTCAAGAGGCTGCAAGTTATCTCCTCCTTGCCTGCGGTGCAGTCTATGTTGTATCGGTGAGCCTTGTGAACAACACCTTGTTTCCTAATTTAATCCTAAGGCTTGGAAAAGATGTTTTATATGTTTCTGCTCTTTGCTTGTTGCGTGATCTGTGTAGTTCTGGTAACTCCGAAGGAAAAGCAATATTTTTAATGGTTAAATGGAGATTTACATATTTTCCTTTCTTTGGTATGTTCCATATTGTGTCTGGTTGAGCTAACAGCAAGATAACACAACTTTTACACTCGTGTTTCACTTAGTTTCAACAAAAAAAACTTATGTTACCGTTCATGCACTTGCCCACTAGCAAGTTAGCAAAATAAAAAGTGCATAGCCAAAAAAGGAAACTTTATTCGTATTTGTGCGATAATGTTTTTATAGATAATACTTGGTTGGAGAAGAACATTAGTTACATCAAGAAACAGAGAGTGCGCATTATGCAACAAAGTCAAAAGAAATCAGACACTTGAAAGTTGACATTGCTTGCATCAGTGTATTCTGTATTTCTTTAGAGGTTCATCTTTTTTATTTCATTTTTTGGTTCTCTTCTCATTGTCTTGTCCCAAAATCTCAATATCCAAGATACTCTCCATAATTGTGCCTTTCTTCATTCTTAGTATGTCTTTGACTTCAGTATAGCTAGGACCCACGAATCTTTACAATGGTATGATATTATCCACTTTGAGCATAGATCTCGTGGCTTTGCTTTTGGTTTCCCCAAAAGGCCCCATACCTATACCTAAGCAAGTATGCATACAATATGTGATTACATGCTTGTTTGCATGGATGACACTAAGTGGAATAATGCATCTCTTTGAAATATTCTGTCATGAATCAACTGATTCTAGTTTTTCCTACGAATCTCAAGGGAATTCTGTGCATTGGGTTTCTCAAACGTGCTCGTGAAGAGAAGGAGACTTCAAAGGACAGGGTCGTTAAAGATCTTCAGGTAACCGTTATTTTATCGGATAGTTCCATAGCTCAGTGGGGAGTATGGAGGGATACTAACATTGTCTTGCCATTTTTGTAATGAAATACATTAAGACATATTAGTAAACCATTTGTTTACATCATTTTCTCTTAAGGAAGCCATGAATTTGTTGCAGGAGTTAGAAAGACAAAAGCAAGAACTTGAACAGTTGCTCATTTCAGACTCTGTGTGAGACAATTTAAAGACATCCCCATGCATCAGAATATAACTGCACCCACCTGATTCTCGTTTCGCCTCCGGGACTGTATGAGCATTTGTGTTGCTTCATTTTTAATTCTACTATGATTGCCCCCTCATAGAGATCTAATCATGTAAATTGTGTCTAACTTGACAATTTGTCTCTGCAGTTATCATGTATTCTGACTGTCTTGACAATTGTCTCGCTGTATTATGAAAAGAATCTGTTTATTGAGACCAAAAAAATGGTGTTTTTCTCTCTAAATTGATGCTGTGACTTCAGTGATTTAGAACCACAGTCCCTGTGACATCTTGATGAACGGTCCAATCCAACAGGATCACATATGTGAGATCTCACAATGGTTGGAGAGGGGAACGAAACATTTTTTTATAAGAGTGTGGAAACCTCTCCCTTATAGACTCGTTTTAAGAGCTTTGAGGGGAAGCTCGAAAGGGAAAGCCCAAAAAAGACAATATCTACTGGCGGTAGACTTGGGTCTTTACAGTTGGTATCAGAACTAGACACTAGGCGATGTGCCAGCGAGGAGGTTGAGCCCCGAAGGGGGGTGAATTGTGAGATCCCATATCGGTTAGAGATGGGAACAAAGTATTATTTATAAGGGTACGGAAACCTCTCCCTAATAGGACATGTTTTAAAACCTTGAGAAAAAACTCAAAAAGGGAAAAACCCAAAGATGACAATATCGGCTAGCGGTAGACTAGGGCCTTTATAGTATATTTGTGATGTATGTGCTTCAAGATCAGCAGGCACGCAGGTTCGTTTACTTTGTCTGAGAAGTGTCATTTTCCTTATAAAACTCCCTTTGAAAGTTTCATCAACTCTTAATCAATTGGTATGCAGAAACAATATTCATGTATGTAACTCATTTCTGCTTTGAAAACATGATATGATATTGAATGAATTGGCCTTTTCACATCCTTATTGTCTGTATGCAAATAGGAGTGGCTTTGGCAGTCCAGTGATTAGTAAAAGCTCCATTAGAGAAGGCTGA